GGGGTGTGGGGGGGTGTGGGTGTGGGGTTGCAGGGAGCCAGAAAGCACCAATTACAGCAGAACAGGGTACCCCAACCTTCCAAGCCTGGCTCCTTTGATCCTCTCAAGATGCCCCTGACCGCTGCTCTCCTAGCCATTCTTCGGCCTCTGCTGATGGTTGGCCTTGACAGAGCAGCTGCCTACTCCAGCCATTGTCCCCCATCTTCCTGAGGCAGGGTGACAGAGAGGGGACAGGTGGTGCCAGTTCAGACCCTCCATGGACTGAGCCTCCTGGGCTTCAGTAGAGCTCTGCAAACCCAGCAAAGAGCCTCTTGTGCCTCACTGTCTAAGAGACCTGTTCTCTTTAGCAGATGCGAACTCAGAATGGGGCCGCCTACTCTCTCCTCCACAGCCGGTGAGCCCATGTGGTTCCCCGGTACACTCATGACACCAGCACCTCCTAGGACACCTGCCTGTCTACCTGGCTGTGCCGATGTTCCGATACTGGCACAGCAGGAGGTGCCGGAAGGTCTTTTTGAAAGTGGCATTGCAGAGTGCATAGCAAGCAGGGTTAATGGTGCTGTTGACGTAGCAGAGCCAGTAGCCGATGGACCACACCCTCTCAGGGATACAGCTCTGGCAAAAGGTGTTCACCAGGACCATGACATTGTAGGGTGTCCAGGTGAGGATGAAGGCGAGCAGAATGGCAAAGATGGTCCGAGTTACTTTGCGCTCCCGGGCCGCCATCTGTCGCTTCTTTCGCACCTGGTTGCGAGCGATGCTGGCGAACTTTCGGGCCACATTGGCTGCTGGGCGCATGCCAGCTGGCGTGGCGGGTACAATCTCGATGGCTGTCACACACTCATTGCCCGTCTGCTTTGTTACAATCTGAATCTTGGACCATTTGGAGGCTGGATTGAGGGTTCGTGGCTGCAGGGTAGGGGCGGGCAGGGCTGGTGTGGTGGCCTCTGTGGTGGACAGTTCTGTGGGCGGCCGTTCCTTGGTGTTTTGGGTGGCACTGCCCGAGCTAGACTCATTGGAAGTGTCCTTGTCGGCCACTGGGCGTGGAGGCGGGGGCAGGGCTGGCGGAGGGGCCTCTTCCAGCTTCCCGTTGCGCAACTCCTCTCGAGAGGCGCCCCCTGGTGGAGGTTTCTTGATACTCGGCTTCATCAGGGGGCTCTTGAGGAAAGCCAGAGTCTTGGCCTTCTTCTCCTTGGGACCCTCAGGTCGATGCTTGTGGACTCGACTGCGACTTGCCAGTGAGATGTGAATGTACAGCACCGTCATGATGATCACGGGCAGGTAGAAGGCAGCAATGGCTGTGCCAAAGGTCACTGCCGGGTTGGACAAGAACTGGATGAAACACTGGTTGTCAGGCACTGTCCTCTTGCCCACCACAAACTGCCAGAACAAGATGGCAGGGGCCCAGAGCACAAAGGACAGCACCCAGGCAGCAGCAATCATGAGGCCTGCCATTTTAGTCGTGCGGCGGGCAGGGTAGGTGAGGGGTTTGGTGACGCAGAAGTAGCGGTCAAAGCTGATGATGAGAAGGTTCATGACAGAGGCATTGCTCACTACATAGTCCAGGGCCAGCCACAAGTCACAGACCACCGCTCCCAGGGGCCAGTAGCCCTTGATGATGTACACGGTGTAGAGGTTCATTGAGAATACACCTATGATGAGATCGGCACATGCCAGGCTGAACAGGAAGTAGTTGTTGACTGTCTGCAGCTGCCTGTTGACTTTGATGGACAGCATCACCAGGATGTTACCCACAACAGTCACCAGGCTCAGAGAGCCTGTCACTGTGGCAATGAACACCATCTCCACTGTCTCCAGGTGGTTGTGGGTTGCTGTGACGAGGCGCACAGACTGATTGGCTGAGCTGCCGTTGACTGGTGTGAAATTTGCCATGCTGGATACAGGTGGGCAGTGGCTGCAGGAGGAAGGAGACAGGGAAGGGGTGAATTGCTGATGAGGATGAGGGGTTACGCAGAGGTCACTGTGGCAGGAGGAATTTCATCCAGGAAAATGTCAGGGCTCTCTAGCCCACTGTTGCTCAGTTTTCACTTGCTTTACTGAGTGCCTCATAGGGGCCAAGCGCTGTAATCAGCTCGGGGCTGGGATTACAGAAGCTAATGAAACACACATGGTTCCTATCTCAGAATGGACAACCTAGTTTGGGGAAAGATAGAAATATGTGAGGGGAGGAAGAAACTGAAAAAAAAAAAAAAAGAAAGAAAAGAAGGCAGAGTGAGGGTAAAGGGAGTAAGTCAGAAGCTAGGCCTCACTCTGCGAGTGATCATGGGCCTCACCCCAGGAGATGATGGTATGGTGACAAGGAGGCAGCCTTGTGAAGAGCTGTGGCACATGGCTGGGATAACGGCAAAGGCTCAGTGACATGGACAGGCCAGTGTAGATGGAGCCCAGGAAAGCAAGGGGTAGATGGAGGAGTGGTCCCAGAGGCTGAAAGGGGGAGACCAGAGAGAAGTGTTCATTTGCTCACTTACTCATGTCCTTCCCCACCCCTGCTTCTTGGGCACTGAAGATGGCCACACACGGCAGATATGTACCACATATGTACCTCTGGGCTACATATTCAGCTATACTTGGTTGTTTCTTTTCTTTCTTCTTCCTTCTTTTTTGAGATAGGATCTTACTGTGTAGACCAGGCTAACCTCAGACTCAGAGTTTGATCTGCCCACCTCTGCCTCCAGAGGTCTGGAATTAAAGGTACGTACCACCATGTTCAGCCATTTGGGCATTTCTGAACCAAACATCCCCAAGCTCCGGAGACTTGTTCTCCCGTCCCTACATCCCTACACTGCAGACAGAGGCAATGATGCAGGGGTACGAATTAGTAGCTGACACCAATTGTACTAAGTTCCTAATAAACCTGAGGCAGACATTGAGGAAACATGCACAGAGGTGTTAAATAACCTCTGTGATCATTTAAATAAATAGGGTTCCATGCTTCATTGATGTCTGGTTGCTGGCAGAGTGCGTTTGGGGAGCAAAGAAAATGGTCCTAGAGCTAAGACACAGGATCTGACGGTTCTAAGGGTTAGGAAGGTTACCCAAGGGACCAGAGGAGGTGAGGTGGGAGCTGAGACACCTGGAGAAGGAAGAGGAATAGGAAAAGGAATAGTGAGATGACTCAGGAAGTTCAGCTTTGCCTCCCCAGTCCCGCCCCAGGGGACGAGTGGACAATGCAGGGGGGGGGGTGCAGCTACAGGCTGTCAGCTCCCCAGGGCTCCAACCACAAGATGCCAGAAACCTAAAAGACACAGCAGGTGAGGAAGGGTCAACCTGATTTCCTAAGAGCCAAGACCAGTCTAACCTCCCTTGGGGGCCCAAAAGATGAGGGAATTACCCCAGAGAGAACCCACAGTCAGCCCCACAGAGAGGGTGACCCACAGAGAGGTCTGGCAAGGCCCCTCCCCTGAGTCTGCCTTTCCTCCCACCAGGCTCCTACAGCTCTCTTCCTCCCCTTCCTCTTCCTTACATGTGAGGGAGGGCCCACGCCCAGCACACTGTGCCAGGGCAGCCGCTCAGCCCAGCCTCCTTCACACCCGCCAACACACAACCATTCCACATACGCACACAGGCCCCATCTCAGCCATACGCAGGTTGTATACGCAGTTGTGTGTGTGTGTGTGTGTGTGTGTGTGTGTGTGTGTGTGTGTGTGTGTAAGAGAGGAAAAGAGGATACAGCAGCCGACTGTGGAGGAAGAAGAAGCACAAGTCTGCAGCCTTGCTCCGTTCAATAGAAGGCCAGCAAGGTCTAGCTGTACAATCTAAGGAGAGCCATCGGCCCTCTGGTATTTAACTCCCTCATTTGCAAAATAGAGGCTCTTGTCCCACCACAGTCTTTGAATAGCCAGGTGATCCAGTTAGCACCTCAGCTTGCTCTCCAACTGGAAATGGCACTGCAGGCTGCAGACACATGCCAAGCTTGGCCCCAGTCCTCCAGCCCAATCATAGCAGACACAAGACCCTGCCTTCTGGCTTCAAAGTTAGGTTCTCCTGTTTTAAACCCTTGAGTCAAAGGAGGACAGGAGGAGAGGGGGTAATGATACCTCCAAGGTCACCCAAGGAGTCAAGGACAAAGGAAGATGGTCCTTTCAAGAGTCTCCACAGTGCTGTTCAGCTCTGAGAGCCTCCAAAATGGAGCCTCAAGCATCAGCCCCTGAGCTGGGACAGTAGTAGTAGCACAGAGGCCACCTTTCCCAGGACACTCACTGGCAGGGGCAGAGGTAAGCCAGGAGGGGAGCCATTAGCACACACCAAAAACAAAACAAAACAAAAAAACAAAAACAAAAAAACCCCTCACTTTAGTCTCTCAGGGCCAGAACAGTGCCAGCAGCCAGCATGGGTGGGGGTGGGGGTGGGGAAAAGATGTGTGAGATAGGAAAATACAACGTGTCTTGTTTATGGAGTGTTAACTTGAGTCAGGAGTCCCTTGGAGCTTTTCCTATAGATCATCACGTTTAATGCCTATAGCAGCCAGAAAAGGTGTCATGCTATTGCTAGCCTCATCTTACAGATATAAATGTCCTCTTCTGAAGAAGAGCTTCATGTTAATGAATTTGATGAAAGTCATTCAGTTTGTAAGAAGGGGTGGGTCAGGATTAGCATCCAGAGACACTTTCTTATCTCCAAGTTACCTTCCACACCACACCAGGGAGAAGCCCACCAGATGCATCTTAGGTGAGAAGCCCTCACCTTCCATACAGCTCCCTTACTTGGGTTTGACCTTTTGTCCTCCTGGAACCAGAAACAGCCTTGACAAGTAAGCGACCAGATGTACGGTGGGTGGCTTGGCCTTCCCGGGACCCTGCCAGATACAGACTGGGTAAAATCCAGTTTTCTCAACTCGGTCCTAGTTCTCTTTCCGGACCTCTCTGATTCTCTCTCAGACGTTCACACCTCAACACCCGTGGACACAGTTTTCCCGGAATCCGGACCCACTAGGATCTAGGAAGGCAAGCAGCCGTCACCCTGACCTGTGCGCACCGCTAGATGGCAATGTCGGTCCCCGGGTGCTAGCTCCGGACCCCGAGACAGAAGCCGCGGTTCACCATGTCCCCAAGTCCCAGTGCAAATCGTGAATACAGAAAAGCCTCAGGGCAGGGCTTCTCCTACAAGAGACCAAAGGCAGGGGGACACCGACAGACTTCGTGGCCTTAAACTGACATGAAGATTCCCTCGGTTCGGCCAGGGGCACGAGGATGAGAAACTTTAGGGCGTCGGGATTCCACCAGCACCTCGCAAGGCACCCAACAAGGAACGTGTAGGTGGGAACGCGAGTGCAAGTTCTGTTTGTGTGTGACTACCCGAGAGCGCGAGTAGACACTAGTAGCTTCCTGCATGTGCCAGTGTGCGCACTGCCACGCCTGGATACCGGTGCGCCTTTGAGCGCGTGAGCATGCCAGCACCATGTGGACACGTGCGTGTGCATGTGTGTGCGTGCCTGAGGTGCTATGGCCTGGCCCAAGCTCACAGTTTGGGCCGGTCTACCTGCGAACTTGTGTGTAGGGCAAATGCTGGATCATCAGCGAGTGACCAGCCACATCAAATGTCTATGGCGGGAATCGCCCGGCCTGTGGGTGGGGGAAGGGGTGAAAAAAAAAAAAAAAAAAAAGACCAGAATTTTGGCTGCGAGGAAATCCTTACTTTGAAACCATTATCTTAGCGGCCCGAGCACCTGGTCCTGTCGCATTCTCAAGAATGGAGAGCGCGCAGTCCCAGGGGTAGACTTCTGTCGAGAAGCCTCTGTGATAGTCGCCCAATCGAGTCGTGAGGGTCATCTGGCTCATTTCGGAGTACCCTATGCATTGAAGGTAGGGGCAGAACCTTCAGACGGGGGGAACCCAGGCGAGGCTTGGGTCGAGTGTAAGATTGTTCTCCTTCACTCTTCAACCCGCACCCGCTGGAGAGGCCCTGTCTAGTCCCATCAGTCAAAATAGGTACCGAGTTCCCAAGCTGTGGGCTCAGGTATACCTAAAGGGCCACCTCAGGGCTTACCCTTGGCCCGTCTGGCATCTCCTCTATGTCTGGGTCCAGGTCGAAAGGGCCAAGGCTCTCCGATGCCCCGCCCTCCCATCAACCCCCAGCCACGCAGTTCCTGTAGTCTCTGGGCGTGGGCACTGTGCTTCGGCAGGTCCTCGAGCCCCTTCCCCTGCTGGGGACAAGACGGGAAAGGATGCTCTGGGCGCCCGTGGGGATGGCTCGTGGGGTAGGTTTTTCTATTATTAAGAAATCACTTTAGGAAAGCTATGGCCCCAGATCTGTCCCTGGGGCGGAGAGAAGCCTATGTACTTAAGGGAAAGGCAGAGGGGCGCAGGATATTGGGCCAAGTCATTGTGCCCAACACTTCCTCTGAGAGCTGGAAGGGTGGGGGACCGGGAGACTGTATCTCCCGGGATGGGTAAAGGCAAGGGTTAGTCTTGGAAACGGGGAAGGGTG